ATATGCAGCTCCATTCATATCTTTCAGCTTATTCATTTCAATCTCAAATTCATACCTATTTGATGCCCTAGCTGCACTCCATAACATATCCTTTAGGCCCTTGCCCTTGAACTTGTCCTTGAAGTTCCCATACATGTGCCTAACACACCATCTATGCTGGGCTTGAGGCACCACAATATCAAATTCTCTATCCAATCCCTATAATCACAAACAATGAGTTATTAAGCTGTAAATAAACTGAAACAAAATGAAGCAAAATAAAAAGTAACAAACAATGAAGTCACCTTTTGTTGATCAGATATAAATATCCAACCATGGTCACTTACAGGACCAAGATCATCAATCAACAACTCCAAAAACCAGCTCCAAGTCTCTTTTGTTTCCAACTCCACTGCAGCATATGCAATGGGATATGTGTTATCATTAGCATCAACCCCCACTGCAGCTAATAATTGACCTGAAAAAAAAAAAATTGAAGTTAACAACTAACAAAGTGAAGGAAAAGAAACTGAAACAACTAATTTTTTTTTTTTACTAACAAAAAAAAAAAATTGAAACAACTAGGCTTTACCTAAGAAAGGACCCTTCAAGTGGCACCCATCTACTCCAATGATGGGTCTACAACCAGCAAGAAAGCCCTTTTTGCATGCATCAAGGCATGCATAAAGCCTCTGAAAATGGGGAGGAGGCTCCACCCTTATCTTCATTGTGCTTCCAACATTAGTTGCTCTAACCTCATCACAATACTCTCGTAACCTTGAATATTGCTCCTTATAAGTCCCTTCTATCACTACTAAAAAATTGGGCAAAGACCACGAGCATAAAGGCACAAATACAATATTGTGCATTCTTTTTAACATTAGGCACAAATAAATCACATTTGTGGCTTTTTCTTATAAAACACAAATAATTGTGTTAAATTCATGCACATAGGGCACAATTTTACATTAGGCATAAAAAATCGTGGCAAAACTAATTATATATGTATTATCTAAGACATTCTTTAGAAAAAAAAAAGGTGATATTATTTGGAAAGACAAATTTTTTGTGTCTTTTATCCTTTAGGCCCTTGCCCTTGAACTTGTCCTTGAAGTTCCCATACATGTGCCTAACACACCATCTATGCTGGGCTTGAGGCACCACAATATCAAATTCTCTATCCAATCCCTATAATCACAAACAATGAGTTATTAAGCTGTAAATAAACTGAAACAAAATGAAGCAAAATAAAAAGTAACAAACAATGAAGTCACCTTTTGTTGATCAGATATAAATATCCAACCATGGTCACTTACAGGACCAAGATCATCAATCAACAACTCCAAAAACCAGCTCCAAGTCTCTTTTGTTTCCAACTCCACTGCAGCATATGCAATGGGATATGTGTTATCATTAGCATCAACCCCCACTGCAGCTAATAATTGACCTGAAAAAAAAAAAATTGAAGTTAACAACTAACAAAGTGAAGGAAAAGAAACTGAAACAACTAATTTTTTTTTTTTACTAACAAAAAAAAAAAATTGAAACAACTAGGCTTTACCTAAGAAAGGACCCTTCAAGTGGCACCCATCTACTCCAATGATGGGTCTACAACCAGCAAGAAAGCCCTTTTTGCATGCATCAAGGCATACATAAAGCCTCTGAAAATGGGGAGAAGGCTCCACCTTTATCTTCATTGTGCTTCCAACATTAGTTGCTCTAACCTCATCACAATACTCTCGTAACCTTGAATATTGCTCCTTATAAGTCCCTTCTATCACTACTAAAAAATTGGGCAAAGACCACGAGCATAAAGGCACAAATACAATATTGTGCATTCTTTTTAACATTAGGCACAAATAAATCACATTTGTGGCTTTTTCTTATAAAACACAAATAATTGTGTTAAATTCATGCACATAGGGCACAATTTTACATTAGGCATAAAAAATCGTGGCAAAACTAATTATATATGTATTATCTAAGACATTCTTTAGAAAAAAAAAATGAAATTTCCATGTGCAATTTTTACATTGTGCAGTTATCCTCCTCTTATCATTTTTCACAAATTTAATATGATAATTGCCTTGCACTGCATAATTTTTCACAGCTTTTTTCAAGACTTCCTTGCTTCCAAATAACATTCCCTTCTCAAATTTAGGATTATCCAAATCAAACATACAAAACTCTGGAAATTTTCTCCTTCTTTCACCTTCCTCATCTGAAGAGTAATAAGGAGAGTCAAGTCCTTTCTCCGAGTTTGTATCACTGTCTTCTTCAAAAGCAGCAGCCACAAAATCTTTAGGAAGATAAGTATTTCCCACTCTCCCAAAGTTGGACTGAAGATTTACATCAAATTCGTTGTTGTCATCTAGAGCAGCATCATTGTCAGTCTCATAAATCTCCTTATCTGATTCATCAGCACTATCTTCAAATTGTAATCTTCTTGTTCTTCTTCCATCAATATCAGTGTCTGATTCAGTACTCTCTTCTTCACCATTTTCTTCTTCATTGCCCTCCTCATTAATGACATTCCCAGCCAGCTCTACAGGAACCTCTACAGTTCCTATAGTTCCTATATTAGGCACTTGTTCAACATATCCTTGGGTCAACTGTGACTCATAATTAAAAACCTCATCAAAAAAATGCATCTGGAACATCATCAAATTCTGCATTATAAAGCAATTGGGGTGGCCCAACATGTGGAAAATTTTAACATAACCAAATAAGAATAAATATCATGGTTCATATTATTCATCATGGGATCAGATGACAAGAATAAATATCATGGTTCATATTATTCATCATTGGATCAGATGACAAGCTTTATTTTCTAACAAAACCAACGATTTATATTAGATAAAATCACATCTTCTCAAAATGTAAAAAATTTATACTGATTTGTTTGGAAAAGAAATTAACATCTGAGTCAAGGCTGAACCAAGAAGAAAATTTGGGGGTATTTTTTTTTCCTTCTACCACCAAATACAGTGACAGTGATCAAAAGGGGTTTTGGAGAAAATGGCTATGTGATGAATCCCACATATAAATCTGTTTGGTTTTTGACAGAGACACTTGTGTTGGCATTTGCTTGCCGAAAGTTATCAATTGTCATCATTTTCTTATGCAAATAAACAGGTACACTATTCTTCCTAAAGCCTTTGGTGGTGAAAACATGCACGGGACCACTGCCTTTACTTCCTATTCCAACCAAAAAAACCTTTACTTCCTAAAGTCTTTACTTTTCCACCACTAACAGACAAACTCAACCCAGTACAAAAGACTACAAATCAGGAATAAAAAATAACACATGGAGACAATTGAAAAAACAAAGCATTGAAAGCAACAAACACTTTAACCATTGAAAGCCCCTATATCAAATTGAAACTAAGCTAAGGCTACAAATCGGGGATAAGAAAAAACACATACTGACAATCGAAAAAACAAAGCATTGAAAGTAACAAACACTTTAACCATTGAAAGCCCCTATATTAAATTGAAACTAAGATAAATAATCAAGCTCTTTCTAACCTGGTTTGTTCAAGCTTCCATTGCGTTCTCCTATGCTCTTCGTCATTTGGGTTGTGTAACCAGCTCCTTCAATCGATTAACTTTTATGCACATATGAGAAATTTTCAATTAAACCTTAAACAGCCCAAAAAGAAATCCCTAATTTCTATTTGAGGATTCAAGCCTTCGTGTTCTCTTTCTCTGAAGTACGAAGAATGAGAACGGGTTATTCCACTGTCGAACAAAAGCTGTGAATTACAGGGGATTTTACCTTAATGCCCCTTCACTGTTTCAATAACTAACGGCAACAGCTGATGCCCTAACAGAACTAAAAGAGATTTGACGGAAATTGAGAAGTGTCCTCGAATTGCTTGGAATCTTAAACCACAGTGGCAAAAGTGACGAAATTGAAACCACAGGGACCTTAGTGGTAAAAGTTGGAAACCACAGGGACCACAGGTGTCGTTTTGCCTTATTTGTTTGAGTTATTTATTTTATTTTATTTTATTTTCATAAGTCTTAAAATTCTGGAGCCGGTGTAGGTGTTCTCCTTTGAAACACACTAACACACTACCGTTCGATAAACCTTGGGCAAACACAACAAACATCCTTCACCGTTGGATCCCACAAACAGAAGCTGAATTCTCCACTGTGAACTTGGAAATAGATTAGGATTTGTATTTCTGAGGATTCGAATTAGGGTTTGACGGCGAATTGCAAATCGAATTTATCCTTGTTTCAATGCTGGTAAAAGGAAGAAAGGTTTCTGGACGGGGAGAGGCCATGGCGGCGAACTACGCGTTCGGGCCGCTCGAAGATGAAGTAATCATCAAGCAGAGTCACTCGAACCACAACCACAAGAGGCGAACCGCCATTGAAGAAGCTCCAGAAGAAGTTCACATCCCTGTTCGTTGAGCTCGACAAGAACGAGGACAACTATCGCGATTGCGACAAGCTGGCCAAAGCTTTCCTCCAAGAGCTCAGCACCTTCGAGATTCCGCTCCTCAAGAGCAAAGCAGTTGTGGATGCGAATCTCAGAGAGAAGCACAATTTCGACGAGTTGAGGGAGGAGATAAATCGGCAGATAGTGCAAGCGCAGACCGACATTGAATTGGTGAAGAAGCAGCTTGAGGAGAGTAAAATCGAAAGAAGGCATAAGGAGGAGTGTGAGGCGATCAGGAAAATGATAGCGACGCAACCGCCTCGGTCCGAAACGCTCAAAATCATATCCGATTTGGAGAAAGAGATTGCCGCTTTGGACGCCGAGAATACGGCAAGTTCAAGGATGCTGGAGCTCCGAAAGAAGCAGTTTGCTCTGTTGTTGCATGTGGTATGCAGCTCTGTTAAATTCCCCAATTTTGGGTTTCTATCTATGCATGATCTCTCTTGATTTACAGAAACAGGAATGTAAGAGTGGTGCTTTACAGATGCAATATGTCAGCGATATTTTGAATTTCTTAATTTTGATCAACTTGTAGATTTTCTTGCATTCTGCTTCACCAAGTTCACATGATGGGAAGAACTTTGCCAGAACTTCTTTCTTCATCAATTTCAATGTAGCTAATTGTATAAACCTAATGTCTGTGTACATTGCATTTGAGTGTAATATTACAGTTTGCATCCAGATAAATATTGAGAAGTCGGAAATGCTTTTCATTTTCCATGTACAATGGCCACTGTGGCTTAACTCAAGTGGAGAAAATGCTTTCGAAAGTACCTTAGGATGCAACATTGATGCATCATAGTGTTTTGAATATTTGATGCTAGTTTTTGAACGTAAAACAAATATATATTTGTTGTCGCATATGGTATCAAAATGCTAAGGGTTTTTTGTTTTTGTTTTTGTTTTTTCAATCACCCCAGTTGTATTTGTGTTTGCTTTACAAAGAGAAAGGTATAACTATTGATCACCAGAGAGGGTAGTGGGGAGACTAAACAAGTCTTCCTCCATGGTAGATTTGGTTTCCCTGTTCCTCTACATTGAGAGAGTATGCATATGATGTCGAAGAATCTGTTATAACTCTTTCAATGTGTGCGTGTCCTCCTAAATATGTGATCACCGAGACTGAGGGAGTTACAGAGGAACTTACAGAGGCCTAAAATCGATGTTGTTAGTCTTTTACTACGATGATGAACATGACTGGTATGTCCTATATGTGTGAGATACAAGTCATGAATGCCCTTTGCTATAAACATATCACAACCTCTACTGAGACTTGGCAATTTAATCTTCAATAGTGAATGGTGAATCTCAACCACTAGAGTGTACGACTCTAATTTCACCATACCATATCAAAGATTTATTCTTCGTATCAGACATATAAGTAATCAAAAGATTATAGTGATTTATAACCTATTCAACAAGATTATAGTAATCCAAAAGACTAGCTTACTTTCTATAAATAAATAAAAAATCAGTTTGGGGAACTGTTAAATGTAACTTTATGCAATGTTAAATCAAACATCAAAAGAAATAAATATCATAAAACATGTGAAATTTGAAATATGAAAAAAAAGTGAAATCATGCGATTTGGGGATTGGGTTCCTTACTGTGGAGAGTGGTCTCTTTGTAATATTGTTCAATGTGGGACTCTTTGCCTTACTTAGAGTTACTTCTTCTAGTTGCTTGGTTAGATATAAACATAAACATAAACAATCCAATCAAATAACATGTTCCTATTAGATAATTACCCACAAGCAATACAAAGTTCCTTTATTTTATAGCAATCAAATCTTTGCTTTTCTGAATTTAAATTTGGTATTTTGATAAATAAAATGTGACTCACTTAACCAAAAACTTGGGTAGTAAAAGATTTTCGGGGAATTTGTAATCCTTATTTTAAAAATGTGATTAATTGCCTATAATCTTACTAAAAATTAACTGAAAAACAAAAAAATAAATAAAAGAAAGAAACTCGTACTTTTCGTTGCATGTAAAGTTTTGGATTTTGTAAGTAATACCTTATACATATAATTTGCATTGCAGTATACGAAAAAATTTAGGTAATTGTTCAACCAAAGATTGACACATTCTGCTTGTTCTTTCAATTTCCTATTTATCTAAATCGTGAACAAGATTTTTCTCATATCAGGCGATGCTTAATATCGTTGATTAATTTCATTTTATGTGTAAAATTTGAGATGTGCCTATAAGTTGCACCGTGGAAGAGGATGAGAAAGAGGGAGAGGCCACGGTGGTGGGGAAGGCCACTGGCCACTGTGATAGAAAGTGACTTATTTGTATATCCCAGTCGGCCATTGCACACCGATTGGGGGGGTAAATAAAGTCTTTTACCGGGGGCAAATAAAGTCTTAACAAGAAAGCGTAGATAATACGCGTCTTGAAATATTTATTTTAGATTATTATAAATAAACCCAATTCTAGGCATGTATTTATAAAAAAACCCACACACTATTTAAATATAGAAACACACCCAAAATCAATTCTAAAATAAACAATTATATATTTTTTGGGTGTGTTTATAAATGGGTTTTGAGTGTGTGTAATGATGGGTTTTGGGTGTGTTTATAAAGTGTTTTGGGTGTTGGGTTTTTTTATAATTTCAGCCCCCATTTTGATATGCTAAACGACACTAACACAAAATTAATCAAACTTATCAAGTCATCAGCCTTTCAAATAAACAAAAGAATGTCATGGCACCATTTTCTCCAACTCCAACTACTTCCTCTGTCTTCTTCTCTAATTATCATCTTCTTTTGCGTTAGTTAATGACAAAGGCATCTTTTCCTCGCAACACACCATGACGAAACATTGCTGAAGTCCCTTTCTACACGATTATTTTGTTTTTCAGTTTCATTATAGTCTTTGTCTTTGCCTTCCTGGAACCTCTATCTGTGCCGATTTTTCTTTTCTTTCTAATCATTCTAGTTCCGCGATCCGGTGCTGAGAGAAGATTTCTTGGAACCACTTTCCAATGGCATTGAGCAGCCAAAGGGCCTTCACTTCAGCTACTGCAGTTTGTCCATGGAAATACGAAGTGTTTTTGAGTTTCAGGGGTGAAGACACTCGCAAGGGTTTTACAGACTAGTTATACAAACAGTTGGACTGGCGAGGAATTAGAACTTTCAGGGATGATCCAAATCTTGAAAGAGGGACAGATATCAATCCGGAGCTTCTGACCGCGATCGAACAATCAAGGTTTGCAATCATAGTTCTTTCAACAAACTATGCTTCATCAAGTCGGTGTTTGCGTGAACTAACCCATATTGTTCAGTCCATGAAAGAGAAGGAGAGAATTTTCCCTATTTTTTATGATGTGGATCCCTCTGATGGACGACATCAACGGGGGAGTTTTGGGGCAGCCCTCGTTAACCATGAAATGAATTGTGGGGAAGACAGAGATGAGGTGCTTGACTGGAGAAATGCTTTAAAAAAAGTTGCTAATCTCCAAAATGACCTGTGCCGTAATTCCACTACTTTATTTTTCCTTATGCTAAAAGCTTTTATTTGCGTTTTTTTTTTTTTTCAGGTATCTGTTATAACCCTTTCAAATGACTCATCAAATGTTACATTCATCCAAATATTGACTTAATGAAATTCAAAAATAGTTTCACAAATTTCATTTTGCTTCCAAACTAATGGTGTCATGAACTTGAGCTTAATATCATCAACCGACCTTATTTGCACACATATTCAAAGAAATTATGTTTATATTTTTATTTTTATTTTTTGATATAAGCATATGGAGAGGAGGAGTTGAACTTAGTGTTGGAAAATTGGCTCGCATAAAGGATACCAAGTTTCGGACTAGCAACCGGTCGTTTTTACACAGAAACGAAGTCTGGAGCAAAGTCGACTCTCGACCGGTCGCCAACCATTTGCGACCGGTCGTTTCTTCACAGAATCGAAGTCTGGAGGTTCTGTGCAAAAGCGACCGGTCGCTCAGTGCGTACAACCGGTCGCCCAGCACGTGCTATTTCAGTTTTCTCGAGTTTTGAACTCTAATTTCAAGGGCTATCGCCTCCCACCTACTTGCAAGGACTCTAGGGGTCACTTCTAAGTCAGAAGAACGTTGGAAATCAATTGGGAGGTTTGAGGTAGCATTGAAGGACATTGGAAGACTTGTTTCAAGGTGTAGCTACCCTATGGTTCTATATAGGGTGGCTACACAAGTAACCATCTGTTGAGGCCCGAAAAATCCACGGTTGGGCCCGAATAAATCCACGGTTGGAATTGCACAACCCCAGCAGCTTAGCCCATACTTTGAAATCACTCCGAAATTTCATTTTTGCTACAAATGACACAAGACCAGTTCCAACATGACCATTGAAAAGTCTATTTTCATATGTCGAAAGCTCCAACCCAGATTTGAAAAGAAATTCTTCAAAAGTTCAAAAAACAGCCAGCAAGCTACTTTGAGCCATTTTCACGAACACTTAGCATGCGTTACCTAAGTAAGCTTGTGGAAGGTCTTGTTTATCACCAAGATAAAACCCTAAATCACAAGCTCAACCATAGAATTCAGTGCCTAATTCACAAATTTTGAGAAACACAAAGGAACTCAAGCTTCAAGAAAATAAGCATGCATCAAAGGCATCAACATTAATCCATGTACACACTTTGGAAAAATAAGAGCAGAGAACACTACGATGGTTGGATGATCCCCAATTTTGGATATGTTGTAAACAACATAATTTCAAGCAAGTTTCATGAAGTAAGCACAATCACCAAAGCAGTAGATATTAAGAACAAGTGCAGAAACCGAATCTGCAGGAACTCACCGGCCATTGATGAATACAGAAGCAACATACCCATTTTGAAGCTTCAGAAAATTCTCAAAATTTTACAGCCTTTAGTCTTCGAGCAGATGAACAACTTTCATGAAGAAAGTTTTCCGAATAGAACTTCCGAAATGGGGCTTCTAAATTGATGAATAGTACCCACGGGTTTGGATTCTTGAAGAAGAAGAAGAAGAAAGAAGACACGGAAGAGAAAAGAAAGGGAAGAAGAAAACTAAAAATAATTGGGTCTGGTGCGCGGAACGAGAAAAGAAAAGAAAAGAAAAAGGAAAACAAAGGAAATAATAATAATAATAAAAAGGAGAAAGAAAGCAGTTGGCATTGAGAAACTGCAAGCAACCGTTGGGTTTCGAGGCACGCTATCATTTTTGCACGCGGGAAAGAAAAGAAGCTTCTTAGGATTACAAACCTGATTTTTTTCGGGCTGGATTTAATTATCAGGCCCATTCCAACACCTGCCCATGGCCCTTATAATTAAGGGGGCTAATGTTGAGGCCCGAAAAATCTACGGTTGGGCCCGAATAAATTCCCGGCCCAAAATGATATATTATTGGAACGAGAAAAGAAAA